ACCTAAATTTGAGGATCTCAATTCCCAAATCCTCATAGCAAACAAAGTGAAAAGTAAAAGGATATTCATGTCGCCTAGAGATAGGGTGAATATGCATTCCTAAAAGCACTCGCAACTGAATATACACTCCCGTCAGAGTATCTGACCACAAACACTAGATACTCCGATCAACATGTTCTGATTGACAAATTTGGTCAACTGGATAGTCTGGCTAAGTACCAGATATTCCGATCCCCTAACAACACCTCCTAAGGAGCTTGTGTCGAGAACAATCTCACACAATGATTTGTGAAGGTTTTCCCTCAACACCACAAGGGAAGAGGTAATTGAGTGTAAACTGAGCTAGATTGTTACATCTTGGTGGTTGCTTAGAGGCTAAAGTTTCTTGTTGGTTTGCTAGCTTGGTGAGATCTACAATCGAAAGAGATCTGGCTTGGCTCCTTGGAGTGTTCTACCACAAGCGATGACAAATCAGAGATTTAGGAACCCAATGAGAAACATACTAATTAATGTCTTATGTACTGATGTTTGTGATGCAGAAGTATTATCGTTCTACCCTCATAGATTTCTTTTTTGCTATATAAATATGATCAGAAATTTGAATGCCGATAGCATGTATCATTATACTCTTTCATACCAGAAGAAACCAGATCTTCTAATTTTTATGTACTTCAATTTAGAACTTGTTTGGCAAGACTCCAACTCTAGCTCTACCTCTTCTAGAACTGGAGCCCAACTAAAAAAAGAGAGTGGACTGGACTAGAATGATCTGAAAAAGAACTAGAGAGGTGGAGCAAGGTCTGGGACGTTCCACAACTCAACTCCAAACTCCGCTCCAAGAGTTAGATTGAGGAGTTAGAGCTCTCCCAAACATGTCCTTAATTGGTCTATCAGATATATTCAGAATTAGGGAGGTATGAAAAAAGAGGTTACGATTTTGCAACTTCCATTTGAATTTTTTTTAAATCTTTACATTCTTTAATCCTTTCATTTTAGGTACTGTTCCTGCTTGATGGGAGGATTTAGATTGAAACATGTGTAAACTCCCTCTATTTTCTTAATAGATGGCATTGTTGACTTTAACATGATATTTGACCATTTGTCTTATTAAAATAATATGTCTCATTTTTTTCTTTTATAACTTGTTTTCTCATTTAAAAAAACTTTAAGTATGGCTTATATTTTTTAAATTTATAATATGTTTTTAATTAAGACGAATGGTCAAACATTATACCGATAGTCCATTGCGTCATCTATTTAAAACGGAGGTGGTAACATGAACCAACCTACCAGCCCTTATTATGCTATTTCTAGCTCTTTTAACAGCATTTAGGATAGCTACATGCAGTTCTATTCATATGCTATAAGATCTATGCAAAAATATTTTCCTTCCAGGTCATTCATGTTTTGGCTAGGTTTGGGTATCCGTGAAGCACTGGTTGTTTTCTATTTCTATGTTTGAAAGCACTATTTAACGGATCTCCTAAGATTTGTTTTGACAAAAAAAACAACAAGAGGGCAAACTTTACAAGAGAGATTACATAATTTGAATTTACAAGAAGTTTATGCTAAAGTGTGTGTCCATATTGCCAAATGGGTATGTGTTCCTTCTTTACCATGAACATATGCAGGGTAAAATAATTCCTGAAGTTGGTCTTCCATAGGTTCCATGAAGGATTTACATAGTTAAAATTTTTATTATCCATATGTTCCAAGTGACGATGACATGACTTCAATAAAAAGGGCTTTCCAAACTAATTTGCTGCAAGTACAATCATATTAATAAAGTTCATATGCAAAGTCACAGGTGAAAAAAAGATGCATCACATCCTCCAGGGCAGCACTATACATTGCATAATACACACTCTGGTCCTCCTTGGACGTTGTATTGTCTTCTTTTCAACATATCTCTAGTGTTTAATCTATCCATTAAAAGAATATAGAGAAATACCTTTAGATTCATTGTACATTTTCTTTTCCATATCAATTTTATCGGCAGAGGTGGTTGCAAGTGTTCATAAAAAAGATTGTAAACTTTTTTGGTGCTATACTGACCAGTGACCAGTACTCCATATATTGTGTTCTGAGATTATTGTATCTTGAATTGTACTTTCCATTTATTGAAGCTGTTGTAAAGACTAAACTGATAAAGGAAGAGTGAAATTGTCGTCTATGTTTGCACTTAGAAAAAAAATCCCTTGTTGATTGATCTTCATTTCTAACAAAACCAAAAGATCAGGGAATTTTTCTTCCAACATATGACCATTCCTGTTGTCTTTCTAGCAAACTATTGTATCCCTATTCCGAATGTTATTTTCGATATAGCTCTATAGAGTGGCAATAATCAGAAGATGTCTTTCCGCCAAAGGAACCTTTTTCAGAGCAAGCATGCGGAGGTTGCTGAGATTGGTAGTTTTCTGTCCAAACTAACTTGACCCAGCGAAGATCTCTTCTATTATAAAGTTTATCCAGTTATTTCATGAGCAGCGCTATATTATGGTGTTCCAAATTAATGATTCTTAACTTCCCTTTTGTTTAGGTTTTTTACCCTATCCTAAGCTGCCAAAGAACCACTCCCTCCGTCCTAAAAATAAACCAATCTAAGATGTGATATGATATTACATAGTACAATTAATCTGGACATGCTATCCTAGATTCATTTATTTTTGAATGGAGGGAATAGACTTGAGTTGCATACCATTTTCTCGGTAAACAACACCTCCTTGCTCTGTCTTTATGTTACATGATTTTTTTGGAACCTTCAATGTACACATGTGGTAGGTTGGTAATGATGAAAAAAATAGAATTACCACTGTTAACTTTGACCATGTGATAAATAAATTTCTATGGAAGATAGCCTCCTGTCAGTTCTATCTATAAGTGGACCACAGTCAACAACTCTGGACTTTGTTGTGCAACCCAGAATTCCTGCTATATGATTTATTGAAATTAATTTTAAGGCCTGTTGACTGGACATGAGTATGAAGAAGGGACTTAAGAAGAAAAAAAAGCTTATTTTTAATATACTTTTGTTATAATAATAGTATCATCTACACATTGAATAACTGGAAAATAACCATCTTCTCCTAAGATTGTTGTGCAGGTTCAATGGTCAATGTACTTCTTTCCGAAGCTTCTATTCTTTTGAGCGCTAATGGTGTAGAGTAATAGCGGTTGAGGTAGGGGAGTTTCCCCGTAGGATCTGATGTCAAGGTCTCTGCACATCACCCGTGAGCCATCTCTGTGCTTCCTTGAGGTTGCCACTGCCACGGACGAAGGCAGAAAAATCTCAAGCCTAGGGCTGGTCTGATTGGACTTAAGTATTTTCACAAATCGTGTGGTATTTTCACATGATTTGCATGGAATTTCAGAGCTAGGTCTAGGGCTCAATCTTTAAGCCCACCCCCAGAATTTTAAATTAAGTTGTGTATTCAAAATAAAAAATGGGTCAAAAGTATGATATTTGGCATGTATAATATTACATAGTATTGATGGTATAATACATAGCATACGTATTATGTGTTGGATACAACCTCTTGGGTTAAATACAACAACTCATTTTTTATACGCACGCATCACATATTATATATATATATATATATATATATTGTAATTAAAAATATGGGTATTCATCCTAATACCCTTGAATTGTGTTGGGGCCTCCCCCGAGCAGCAGAGGCCAAGGAGGTGAGGGATGTCTGTCGCATTATTTGTGTTTATATGCTCTCGGCTCACAATGTTCTCTTACATGGGCCTTATCCAATGACATGGGCAGCCTTCAACTGATCTGAGTTACACCCTCACAGAGAAGCACTAACTGATATTTGTGATGGCAATGACATCCACCTCCCTCAACTGCCTTTCACATCGCAAAGATGTCCTCACAACACAACTTTAAAGCAAAACTGGCAACAAAGAACAACAATGACCCGAATTGTTTGAATATTCTTTTGCACTATATTTGAAAAAAATTAGGTACTAAATATATTTATTGTAATTTTTGTTTTCCTGTTGTAACGCACAGACATTGTGCTAGTAATAAATAATTCTTGGTAAATTATATGATATATAGATGGTACAGATTGTAATATCTTTGAATACATTCAGAGATATGCCAAATTATGTGACGCGTGGAATGGATGGTACAGATTGTTTCGACAAGATGTGTTTTATTAATGATTTATTCAAAGATATATGACTTGTTTATTGATTTGCCTGGCTAGATTAAGCCAAATTCTGATGATGTTTTTCTGATGGCGAACTCAAACGGCGTGTCTGAAGTGGTCTTGAGAAATGAAAGTGACGTTTTCCTGGGGCAGCCGTCCACTTTTACCCTTTACTGTGTGATGCTACAATGGCAGAAGCGTTGGCATGTCCTTGAGCTATGCAGTTAGCATCTGAATTGGGTGTTTCAAAATCAATCCTTGAGACCAAACAGTCTGGAGGTTCAGAAGATGGTAGCTGATGAGAAAGTCAGCAGATCAATATATGTAGTAATAATCCAAGATTTGAAGCAACGGCTAAGTTTGCTTCATGATTTCAGGATCAAATGGATTTGTCGGTCAGCCAATATGGCGTCCCATTTTTTAGCAAAGAAATAGTGTGCTACGAATTTACTTCGACCTATTTCTCTGTCTCACCAGAGTGTTTAAGGTCCCAGATTGTTAAAAACTGTAATCAAACCGGTTCCGCTGAAAGGAAAAAAAAAAAGAAACCTAAGCTGTGATGATGCATGAACATCACTTAGAGTTAGATTTGAAATCTATTTGCTGTTTGATTCACTAAATCTTTTTAAATAAATATCAAACCTTAAAGAGTAACGTAATTGATTTGATATTAATTTTGGCACAGATTTTGTGAATTGCGGCCATGAATTTCAGACCTGAGGCTAAAATCCATCAAATCCTCCAAAACATCATTTCACAATATACTGATGCACACATGGCACATCACCAGTAGTTTCAGTGCTACTTTAATTGCAACATGTATAGGCGTCTCTATGATGAACAAGATATAAAGTTGCAGACCCATTTTTTTCATTGTCAACTATGATGTCTGTTAAGTCAGGTATTCTCCGAAAACTTGAGATAAAAACGACATAGATATGCTTCGTATACATACACATGATTGCATATTGATCAATCCCCTATGGAACTTGATGAATTACATATCCATTTAAGTAGCTACCGTTTGAGGCGCCTCAACACTATCAGGAAAGTATCAAGGCAGAGTGTGTAGTCATCGAAGGCACTTATTCCACAAAATTTACCACGAGTCAAAACTAATTTGTCCCCTCCAATTTGAAGCCTATCAAAGGAGCAAGCGTTGGAAACCTTTACACCATGGCCAAAGTTCTTGTGTGCCTGCCAATGTACAACAAGTGTCAAAAGGATTTAACACAATCAATTAATGGCCAATAATGTTGCGAGATTAGTTAAAAGGCACAGTAGTATATTTATATATACTGTACCATATAATAAAACTATGCGAAAACTATAAAGTATTCCCCACCTCCCCACTTTTTTCCAATCTGTAAGGATATTCAAGAAACAGAACAAAATTAGTGATAGTTTCCGGATGGCTTAAGTGGATAACATAGTAATTAGCAATTACCATTTTATTCACTTCAATTTCCATTTCCATTTACCACCTTATTAACACCACGTGCGATGCATGTACATGCTTAAGACTGACTAGTGAGTGTCAACTATGGTCATTGCCACCAAATTATTGGGACATAACAGTAAACAATGGTTCAAAAAGAGCATGAGCTGAAGGGAAGATCTAAGTCAGATGGTAACAATTGATGAGTTTAGAACAGATGAAGCATGAGGAATCCTGCTTTGTTTGGCCTATTTGATGCATATCCAACTGACAACGGGTAAGGATCAGGGTAGAGCAATGTTGAGCACTTTTGTTCTACATCTGTACAAACTATGAATGAATTCAACATACATCAACTGCCCTCATCACTATATACCATCAAAATACGAGCGCATTTCTCTATGAAAATTCTGTACTACAGCTTAAGTTCATGATCAAACATCAAATATTCAAGCATGAAACAATCAACATCCGCATAAAGAAAAGAAAATAACAAATAGCAATAAGTATGGACTAAGAAAATGGAGTACATGGGAATCAATGATAACTAATTTCAAGCTGTAATGTTGCAAGATGCTTTCAAACTAAATTAAACTTACAAACGATATGCCCACTATTTTAGCATCGGAGTTGCTCATTTGTTGTGCAATTTGATAGGCACAAGATAAACTGCCTGATAGAACTCCTCTGATAACCCCATTCTAGGTCTAGGAGTGCCAAAGAACCATATAGATCTTCATATTACATAGCTAAGATCAACCAAGTGGAAAGTGCACAACAGTAAACATCATATTACGTAGTTACTGACAACCAATGAACCAGAACCTGTCAGCCCATACCTTAGAATGTATGAACAATTTTTCATATTTCAAACTACTGTACTCTAGAATTTCATTAATCTGATAGGAAATGAAGAGGGTGGCATTCAGTCAAGTCTCGTGATGTTAAGTGGAAAAAAATTGCTAGATACTACAGCATACCATTGTGATTTCCAGCATGACTAACCAAGAGGTCAAAAGTTCCCTTGAGAAAATACAATTCCTTAGTTCACTAATTAAACTCGACAGAGAGTTAAATGCGGGTACAAGAAGTGAACAAGATAGAAAACAACCTTCCTACAAATTGAGTTATTTAGGTTCTCTTAAGACAATGGCACCAATAGCAACCACTGGAGCAATTTTTATCAAATATGAAATATCTACTTGCCTAATCATATGACGACAAGTTAAATTACAGATGAAATACAAAAGACTTACTTGCCAAGGCTTTATCATTGCCATATTTGGGTTATTGGTTTGAATTGGTAAGGCATCGATACATAAACTCTCAGTACGAAATTCAGGTGAGAAGGCAAGACAAGTAGACAACTCAAACTCCATATGGTAATTGTATAAACCAAGCAAAGGATTTCAAGAAAAAAAACAAAAATGTTTGATTGATCTAGCCATGAATATTACAGAAGACTCTGGAGAACAACGGTGTTTCTTCAAAATCAGTAATCAATACCAGATATTATCAATGAGACTCAGCATAGAATGCCATGAAAACTTCATCCTTGAAAATACAAACAAACAGGATGACTGTTGATAAAGATGTCGGTGTAACAGCAAAAAATTTCATGATCAGATCATTAGAATAAAGTAGGATAACTTTGGTTCTGTTTATTCTACACAAACTGGAAGCTGCTAATTGTAAAAGAGTTGTTATTACTCATTCTGCAGCCAACTGGTATGTCCAACATCATTGTGCGTGCTTGGCACCAAATATAATTAGTGTGTCCAGCATGCAAATCTCCCCAAAAAGGTAAAATAGTTCTTTTGCCCCATAGTTTAGTGTTTGCTCATTTGCCAGTTTCCACATTCCCAGTGAATGACAACCAGAACTAGGGACCACATGTCATACACACATATGGGGCAAAAGAGCAAATGCCATCAACTTATTGTGGGACAGAAGAGCAAATCTCCCCTTGGAAAATTGGTTTACCAGCCACAACGGCAACTGATATTAAGATGGTCCCAGTCCAGAAGGGAAAAAAAAAAGTCTTGCATGGTGCACCATTCGTCGAAACAATGTTTAGGTATCAACTCAATAATCTCATTGCGTAGCATAACTACAAATAATGGGATGTTTTACTTCTGGTGCGCCATTCATCAAACAATGTTTACGCAGCATAACAAAATAGACCAATATTCTAGTGGAGCGCTTAGCTTGCTTGACATACATAGCTCCTAAAGCGTAATAAGAGTTAAACAAAAGTAGGATATAAAACTTAAAAGCACGGTTGCATAAGAAAGTAAAGAAACTCATGACACAGGGCAAAAAAGGTTGCAAATCACTAAATAAATAAATAATGCGTGTATATTGCTACAGAAAAACTATGTGCACAGAAAGTTGAATCGCACCTAGCTCCTCTGGACATATTACTGTGCTGTTGCCTCAAATTTCCGGAGCATGTCGCAGTGCGGCGTCTCGTAGGAAAGCCCCCAGTGGCGACGCTGCACCTCAACCCTACAATTCTGTGAGAGTATTGAGAAGTAATCCCGCTCAACATGCCGTTCGAGTGTTGCACGCTCAGTGCTCTGGTGTGGATACTGCTCCTCAAAGTTAGGCAACTTGACATAGTATGTGACTCCACGTGTGGTTTGGAATTTGTGCTCATAAGGGTAAGAGCGGGACAGCGAGTAGACCGGTTCAGAAGATGGCAGGAAGTTGAGCAACAGCAGCAATAGAACAGGCAACAGCTGAATAAGCATCCGGAGAGTGGAGCCACCGGAATTTTGCGCCCCATGGCCATGGTGCATGCCGCCAGTCCTGAAATGAAACGTCCCAAACTGCCCAAACTGTCTGGTGGTGGCAGGCGCCATCCCGCCAAAGAAGAAGTTTCTGAATATCTCATCCGGATCAAATTCATCCTCATAAAACCCATTATACGCACGGGCAGTGGAGGCAGCCCTCCTGTTGTAAGTCACCGGCTCGTCCGAGCCAACAAGGTCATAGCGCTTGCGGCTCTCGGCATCGCTGAGGCACTGGAAGGCCTTGGAGACGGCCTTGAACGCATCCTCGGCACCGGGGGCCTTGTTCTTGTCGGGATGCACCTTGAGGGAGAGCTTGCGGTAGGCCTTGCGCACGTCCTCCACAGTGCAGTCCTTCTCGAGGCCGAGGATCTGGTAGTAGTCCCTGGTGTGCTTCTTGACCTGGCGCACAACCTCCAGCTGCTCAGACGTGTATGACCTCTCACCGGCGCTCTCGTCCTCCTCCTTCTTCTTACCCTTCTGCTTCCTCTCTCTCAGACCATCGCTCCCGGTTGCTTCCTCCGCGGATGCTGCCGCTGCTGACGACCGAGGTGGCGGCGGCGGCGGGGCCTGTGGGGACGACGACGAGGCGGAGGACGAGGGCGGGTCGTCCTGGTTGAGGAGAGGATCGAGCAGGTGGTCGATGGGGAGGGAGGGGTCGAGGCGCTTGGCCTTGGAGAGGAACTTGACGGCGCGGGCGCTGTCGCCGGCGTCCGCCGCGGCCTTCCCGATGCGGAGGCACTTGACCGCGTCGTCCTTGTTGCCCTCCATGGCGCCTCCCCCCGCGCAGCCGCCGCAGATCTGGCCGCGCGACGGCGAGTCACCCCCTCCTCCTCCTCCTCCGTGCGATGGACCCCGATCGGATCGGCTCCGCCCCCAAATCCAATCTGAGAAGCGATCGATTCGCACAACAAGGTGGGGGGAATCAGATTCCGATTTCCGAACGAGCCGTGGAAATCGGCCGCATCGGATGATTGGGAGGCGCGACCGTGTTGGGAGATGCTTACCTCGCCGGAGTTGGAGCGGAGACCGGATCGGCGTCGGCGTCGGCGGCGGCGGCGAGTCGCCGTGGGAGGGGAGGAAGAAGAGAGGAGGGGGGGGAGATGTGATGAGACGGCGACGCGACGACCACCGCGGGCGGAGTCGATATTTCCCACGACTCCGTCTCGCTTTGCTTCACTTTCCTCAATTTTCTCAGGATTCCTTTTTTTTTTTTTTAGTTTTCCCTCTGTTTGTTCGTTCTCTCTGCGAGACTGCAAATACGCGTGAAGAAAAGGGTGTGGGCCTGTGGTAATTGGGCCAATTAGAAACCTATGTGAGGCCGTTTGTGGGTAATTAGTTTAGGTTTAGGAAACCGTAATGATGGCTCCATCGTTTGCATATTTGCAAACGAGTACTCCAACCATCCCAAAAATAGGTAAACATTGGTTTCCGTGTCGATCTTTGACTGTCCGTCTTATATAAAAATTTTTTATAATTCGTATTTTCATTGTTGTGAGATGATAAAACATGATTAATATTTTATGCGTGACTTGTCTTTTTTATTTTTTTTTCATAATTTTTTTAAATAAGACGGAAGGTCAAACGTTGGGCATGGAAACCAGGGTTTCTCTTTTTTTTGGGATGGAGGGAGTAATAATTTGTGAATAAAAATTTTATTTGTGTGTTCCTAGCGATCTTAAAAAATAAAGTTTAAAAAAAATTCAAAATCAACTCTGAATTTAAGGTTGAAATTTTAAATTTTGGTTGATAAGTATAAGTATAAGAGAAAAGATGAGGCCTATAGTTTCCCAGTTGCTTAAAAAAAATTCTCACTCAACTCAATTGGTAACCGTGAGAAGCACGCGGTCACGTAAAAATTTTTATTTCCGTCAATAGAGATATGTTATGTGACGATGTATATATGAGTACGATGTTAATAGCCTAAAAGCTCAAAGTTTAGAGGAGTGACTTAAATTAAATTAAAGCTACCTTGAAATAACCATGATACCATCGAAGATTCAAATGGGAATATTGTGGGATACTCCTATTTTGGTGACAAGGATGAAGAAAAACAAGTGGTATCAAAAGACACTGAAAAACAATTGGATATATGCCAAACGCATGGGAAAATGAGTGTTGAATTGTGTCAGAATTATAAATGCGAACACCTAAAACTTAATCTAGATCGTAAGACAACTTATGGCCTGTTTGGATTGGGGCCAATTCTTGCCCTACCTATCATTTGATAGTTTTGAATAGTACTAGTAATCGTGCACGTGCAATGCACGTCTATGTTAAAATTATTGGTCCAATTCCACTAATAAGTGAAAAACAATATATTTATTCTAAACCACTGATATTAACATGAAACTTAAGTGACAAATAATCAAAAGCCATCTGTAGTCCTTTTGTTATCCACTGCATTTCAAACAAAATAAATAAAAAATACAAAAGCTTCACTTCTCACTACATTTATAACAAAGTTTTACAGGTGCCATCACAAGTTAAACTTTTGCAACTAATTTGGTCTAAAATAAGCAACTATAGAACCATACTCTCACCGTAACAATATGCAACCTGGAGATTAAAAACAATAATCCAATTAAGCTAATCAACCTGACAGACTGTCACTTCTGTCACTTCTGTCCAAGGATGAATATCTCAATACTATACAATCACCACTATTTTTTCCTTTCAAAAAAAAATCACCCCTATTTTGCATCTGATATACGGATAAGCAAAACATTGTGGCCTTGATCGGCAGCAATGGCTGCTGCCGCAGCTGCCCTATAGGTGTAAATACCATGTGAAAGAAGACATGCATAGCACTCTTATGTCACTTGGCCATATAAAGTTTTCAACTCCACAATTATATATATACATCCCTCCTGTCCTCAACATACCAGAGCACAGCAGAGGTGCATATGAATCCATCCAGATTATATATAGAGAAACAAACCCTCTTGTAATCAAGCCGAATTTGAAGAGAAAATGTATAACATATGCATACATTAATTCCTTTAATATCCAAACTGAAAATTAAGAATCAATAGTATCAGCCATGGAAAAGAACTGAGTTAGATCACAAAATCTTCTGACGAAACTAAAGATATTGAAGCCAATTTTCTATCAACCACTAATTGCATGCACAATTGAGTTGTTTATATATTCATACAACACAAAATTGTAAAGTGCCAACCCGAAGAAGTACATCTCGATGTGTCATGCACCTATGTTTAACTGCATGTCCATGCATGAAAGTCAAGGAACTCCAGTAGAAAGTGATGTTTCTACCTTCACGGAGTGACAGTAACATCAAATGCAAAGGTTATAAGTATAATACAAAAAGAAACACTGATCTGTTCATTTTGAAAGCAACAAACTATTAGCCTGAAGCACATGTATTCACAGTAAGAAAAAACTATTGACTGAGAGATCAACTTGGTTCACAGGAGAAAAAAGTATGCTTAGAGCTCCAACTGAGACACGAAGGAGTAGCTAAAAAAATATGCATCATGAGCTTAGGACTTAGAGCCTCCTTTGCTTCTTAGAGCAAGTTTAATAGTATAGCCAACTACTAGCTCCAATTCATCTATAGCCAATCTAATAGTTCATTCATACAATAGTTACATACTACACTATTAATACCTGGTCCCACCTGTCATACACACACTGCATCTTAGAGTCCGTGCTACAGCTGGCTATAAATCTGTAGCCCGCTACTCTTCTCTCTTCTCATTTATCTACTTAAAATATGTTTGCAGTTGGCTTATAGCCTGCTATTGTACCTGCTCTTAGGTCCTTTGCTTCTTCGGTTCCTCCTAACTACTGAAGCCAACACATGGATGTCACAGCATTCACATTGCCATCTCCCAACTCCCAAGAAACTTGCTTCATTCTCATCCACCAAGGAATCAACCTATATGAGCATAACCTTATATGTCACCTGAAAAGAAAAATGAAACGTTCAAGTCTCAATTAATCAAGCTACTACTGATCATGGGATTGCAACCAGCGAGCATGTATATCCATCTGAACCATGTTGCAGTGTTTTCGTTATACATAGTGTAGCTGCAGAACACATGCAAGAATATGACCCCAAGGATCCATAATCATATCTTCTTGGCTGTTCCACTGAACAATTAATACTGAATTCATTATATGAAAATCCTGAAAAAAAAAAGGAAAAATGATGGTTAATTGGATCTCTTGAGAAAATGACAGTATAATTTATGCTCATAAGAGGCACCATCTATGAAAAATATATAATTTAGCATAGTCGTGACACAACGCAACATGAATTCTAATTGCACCGGACCTCATTCTTAGTAACATATAAATTAAGCAGAAAATCACTGGACAATGGGCCATACCTTATCACCAGAAGTCATATCTCGGTAAAACAAATATCATTATGTTGAGACTTGAGATGATCAGCACCCAAGGAATTAACACTTATCATTTGCACAGTTGTAAAGTAAAACCTAGAAATGTCTTAGCAGGCATTCTGATATGGGAGTTGTTTAGAGAAAACATTTAGAGATGTAAGTTGTCAGTTGCACACCAATAGTGATCTGCATCTCCCATTTGTACCATTACACCAAAAATAACTTTTAGATCACAAGCATTTGCAATTTTCCCATCTATAATAAATGCACACATTCATATGGAAGCATAAAAACATACACAATTTTAATTGCCGGAGTACCCAAAGTCATAAGCAAGAGTAACCGGGACAAGGGAAGTAGTGTTGTTGAACCTGACAGCGCCGCAACGGGATATATTTATTTATTTGCTTGTGATGATGAACACCCATCGGTGTTATTATTGGTGGAGAAGGAGGACGATGCCCCGGAGCTGTCACAGCCTGATTTTCGTTTTAGGATTTAAAATTATTTAATCAATTATTAATAGAATTTATATTAAATGTTCATTAATTTTTAAGTGAAGTTAAATGTGGGAAATAAAATTTTCTAAATATAAAGCATGGCTGGATTTAATTTTTATTAAATTCTCCATGATTAATTATACTATCTGAAATTTTCTCGGATTTTTCGGAGCTCAATTCCTAATTTTAATAATACAAAGAATATTTCAGTAATTATTCACATATTAAATTAATCATTAAATGAGCTGGTTTCAATTTTGTTAAATATTTTGAGTGTCCAAGTATGTTCAAGATTGTTCTTGGAATTATTTGAGCATTGGAAGTATTTTTAACAATTGAAAGATCATTTCAGTGATTAATTTAATTGGGAAAAGTAATTAGAATACCGATTTTTTTATTTATAATAACTAATCCTTCACAAATTAAATAAGTAGTAATTATCTGTAGGGATTTACCAAAGTAGTAAGGACGCTATTGTCATCAGCGTCCAGGTGTGGACACTGTTATAATACATGTCCAGCTCGAGACGCACTTCTTAACAGCGTCCACAGTCTGGTGCAACCCAATGTGCCTTACTGCCTTATCACACCGGCCGCCTTATCACACCGGCCACTGTAAGCGCTTGTTGACATCTCCTGCTAGCGAGCCTTCGTGTTGTCCTAAGCAACGTTAGCTCGATCACTTTGTTGGCGATTGAGCATGTTTAATTACTTAATTATATGCTATCACTCTATAATTTTTGCCTTTGAAGTGCCCACGCATGCGTTAGCTTTTCCTTTATCTGGTCCGGTTGCCTCTAAAACAGATATATAGCTCGTTGTTGGATCAATCAATTTGTAGTTATATATAGGTATGTCGATTCATTTTAATATCGCTGCATATCGTATCAACATATTATGGTTCTAGATAAATTATACTCATATATTTCAATAATCCAGCCAACTGTGTCAATTACAAATACAGGACAAACAATCTGGGTAGGTGTTGACGAAAAAATCGAATACACCGGCCTGGGAGATCTGCTTAACTCCAGTGCAGGTCCAAATCTTGGTGAAATGCGAGCGTGCCAGTCAGTTTGATCTTGCAACTGACAAGATATGCAAATAGTATATCAAAACAGCCGATCGGCTGACAAGCCGATAGAGTAGTTCCAGCCGATAGCGATAATAGCCGATGCCGATACCAGCCGATAGCGATAGGGTTTAAGCAATCGGCTATATGTCCAATGTAGATAATAATATAAAGGCAATCGGCTGATGATGATGTAATAAAATAACAATATAATCCAGTATAAACCAATCGGCTAGCATTGATATGATAGAATAAGCACTGATCTGAAGGTTAAAGCATACATCGGCTGGA